GTCCATAAAATGCGTTGCACAAATTCGAACATCTGGGTTGTGCTGTTCTGTTGTAAATAAATCTTAACCAATGATTCCTAATTGCATCTACTTCCGGAAGGCCAAATAAAGTGCTTTTGCTTTCGCACAGAAACACACAGCGTCCCCCTGACATGGCTGCATCAACACTACTGCTGTTCCTGAAACCACGCCTTCTTTCTTTGCGTGCACATTTAGGCAGCATTATGCTAATATCTCCACATAGTGACGTAGACATGTGGGGGCGTGTTAGGTAGGCGTGGTTGACTCTTAACTTTTATAAAGAATATCTCTTTGGATTTTGGATTTGAGACTTTAGTCTTTGCAACTTTACAGATCTTCTTTATGCACCAAGAGCTTGTAACACTCCAAAGAGAAAGGAAAACTTGAAATCACATCATATGACCCCTTTAACTCTCACTGTGGTAGCGGTTGTAGCAAATCATTATCAGCTTCTTAAAACAAACACACAAACACACACATCAAAATTAACTTATGACAGTGTTTAATTCATATCGTAGAACAAAATGTAATGTTAACCACAAACCACAAACAAATCTAATTCTACATTCTACAAACCAGTAGTAAATGTGAATTGTTCTCTGTAGGTTAGTCTCTGACTAGCAATACCATGGCCTATAGCAAATCAAATACAGGTTTGCGGGTGTGACTTATCTAATGGATGCTTGGTAAAAAAAATAAATAAACAAAATAAAAAGAGCCTTTTAATTTGTCTCACCACAAATGTCTCTGGTTCAATAGGAAATATACCGGCACAGGTAAGAAAATGGCACAGGTCAAGCCATTATACTGGGGTTTTAAAGGAAACCTTTGTCAGTGCTGAACACACGTACAGTATGTGCATGTAGACTGTTTTTGCATTATTTATCAAGTGCTGTTATTTAGTATGCAGTGAGGAGCTTCACCACCAGATGGCTGCCTCCCATCAGAACTCATACTGTAGTATGCCCTATAAATAAAATTACACAGCACCAGTAAATATGCCAGATTTTCCCTACACAGCATCGTCAAACCACACCAGCAGAGAATTCAATGAGGTTGTCTGTTCACAGCAGGCGTGGAAGAAATCAGCTTCCACTAGGACACTTCCATTGTCCTGGAATATAGCATGTGGTGTCTGTGCTTCACAGGCCTGAACTACATTTACATTTAGTCATTTAGATTACGCTTTTATCCAAAGCGATTTACAAATGAGGACAATGGAAGCAATCAAAATCAACAAAAGAGCAATGATATACAAGTGCTATAACAAGTCTCAGCTAGCTAAAGCTTTAACTAAAAATTGCATACAAAAAAATAAAAAATTATCCGCGGCATGTGCATTTGCAGTTTTATCAAAATAGTCCATTGATTTATGTCGTTTATTGGCCAAACATGACGTGTGAAGTAATGGATGGAATATATTACTCAGGCACAGCAGTGTGCTGTAAAGGTAGGCTATTTGATAAATATGATCCCTGGGCTTTGTCTTTTTGCATATGCAGCATGATTGATCTTGTTTACTTTGTAGCCGCTCCTCTGCGCTCTTCAGTTTGTCTTCAAACACACACACACAGACACACACACACACACACAGAATATGGAATATTTAATTAACGTTTGTAAATGCTGTATAATGAGGTAACATCCAACATATCTGCCATCTGCGGTGGTGTTGAAATGTACTTAATTTTTGGTGGACGTGGTGTTTGTTGAATGTAAATAAAGCGCGTCATAAAAACGCCTCGATTTGTACAGATTGTCCGATAATTTAAATATAGTTAAGATCTGATCTCTTTTCATTACATTTA